GCATTTAAAGTCAGAAATTAAAGGTCAGAAAATGAAAATACACTGCAAGAGGCAGGTCAGGTTCAAGTAAATTCTACTCGAAGTAGAAAATACCATAGCTTATCACTGAGAGACACGGCATGTTTATACTACCAGAAGAACAGTCAAACAGAAACAGAAAAATCCGAACACACCGGGATGCTGAAGTTGGGTATGAAGACATTACAGAAACCAAGGTGTCATTGAAGCTGTATACAAAATATTTGATAGAGAAATGGAAAGTTTGCAGACATGAGAAATGAAGAAATTTAGTTATCAATATAAGCACCATGAATTGAAGAGGAGGAAACGGAAGATAAACGCATCAGAAATTAGGACTAGATTTTTGATGCAAGGTTGTAGTATTGTTACCAGTACATCACTCATATAACTTAGCAAACAATTCAGCGCCAGTTACCGTTGTCTTTTATCACACTACTGGATCCTGCATCCAGAAATAATTTAATTCTTTTATCCCGCCAAGTGATATTATGTAATAGTATTGACTTTATATGGATAATACAATTTTCATTGTAACTGAACTTTGCCTTAACTGGTACATTTCATGTTTCTGAGACCATATTCTGTGTTGCAAAGTGAGGAGCAATAGGCGGTGGTCGATGAAGTGAATGTACACCTAAATATATAATCTAAAAAGATTTAATTTTATAAATTTGGTCATATAACAGGAAATTGTGTTACTACATGAAAACTAATGGATTTTATGGTATATTATGGAAAATCCTTACATAACAGAAGATAAAAAAGCATGTTCAAGGGTACAAAAGCTTGCATTCTGTTAGGTGATACACATAAAAGCACTGAAATACACTAGACCTACAGGTATACGGATAAAAGCAAGCACGAAAATACCCAAACCACCTTTTGACGTGAAGGGGATTGGTCAGCAGCACTAGAGGACTAGATTGTGTCGAAAAAGGATACAGAAAGTTAAAAAGACTCTTTAGTGTGCAATTAACTTCTGAAAACCATGACAATTCCTCAGTTATCTACAGTTTTAAGTAGTGGTTGGCCTCATGATTGGAAATACATCTCGAAGTATTATTAGGTAGTTTTAAGAATAGTTCTGCAAAGGATATCAACTCATTTTTTTCAATAAATAGATCTAAAGTCTTGAAACAGTCATTTTACTTTAGTCTATGGGACTAATTGGAAGCATAAGACTCTAAACCTCCTGTAGCATACAAAAATATGTGGAAATTAAACACAGTTCATTAAAGAGGCTCCTTTCGGAGAATTAATTTTTTTGGGTGTATAATTCCAATTTTATACAATGTTTTTTTTTTTTTCAAAAAAGAGATGAACTGTCATAACCACAGTTACTAATATTAATTAGTACATTAGTGAAGTTGAATAAAGGTGTTAGGGTTATGAGATTAATTATTTTACGAATGAGTTGTAATTTAGCTTTACATAGAAACAAAGGGAAAATGCAATATTGTGTAGAAGTTCTACGGAATAGGAGAGTTATTAAGAGTTAAAATGAAGGAAAATAAACTGATCTAAAACAACAGGGTCATTACCATGATAGTAGAAGTGGTTCAAGAATTCTGTTTTGTATTTAAAGCTCTGTTTTTCTATCTGGATGACCACAGCTTCAGCAATGCAAAGGGGCGAAAGCATATTGTCTTCGTTAGGTTGCTCTTCGCTTTGAAGGGGGAGCTTGTTGAGATAAAATTGCCGGTATCAACAAGGTAAGCAGTTATTGCACACCTTATTAAGCAGTTGCAACCATGCAGGGTAGTGTTTGATCTTGAACACTTTTAGATAGGGTATGTGTCGAACTACTAACATGCCTGATAGGAAGCACTTGAGCTCCTTCACATGTCGTCAAAATATACAGGTATAGTAATTACTGAACCACTGGCAAATATATGGAATACCTACTTTTCAATTGAAGAGGCTCACACTATGTTTTGATTTTTAAAATAGCATCCACTTCGTATGACATGCATCAAAACTGCCTGTTTGAAATGGTGAAGGTACTTGATGGGATTTTATCAGGGTCTATTGTTTGAGGCATATTCATGTATACTTACTGTCCTTAGTTTTAATTAAAAATACTGTGAACCCTGAGCTGTGAGAAAAGTTTTGCCCGTAAATTCATGGTGGAAATGCACCGCAGTTGACCCAGAGAACTCTATGGTTTGAGGTAAAAGAATTGTTTTTGCATTGTATGGAAAATTAAAAACTCTCGGTACCTATTCTGTATGTCATTCGATAATTTTTATTTTATAACAGGCCTACATTTACTCCCATTTCTGGGAAATAAAATTCCCTTAATTCGGCAAGTAACTTGTCTACTTGAAAGTGTCATTGATTTTGACAGACTGGTTGACTCGTCAACATGGAATCTTGAGCAGAAGAGTATGACTTCAAGTTTCCGGTTTAGAAGAACACAACCTAGGAGAAACAGAATAACACTACAATTGGAAAATATGTGAAAGGAGAAAAGTAATGAAGAAAGGAAGACTTACAAGAACGTTTACAATTTCGAGGATCATAAATAGTGAATAAATATGCCCTAGCCCAAAACGTTTGAGTCTCTCACATTGGTTTATGACGTTTCAGAGATCCCCACTGAGAAAACCTCCACCTGCCTACAGAACTCAATAGTTTCGTAGATTGATGCCGATTTGTTTTGATCATCCTTTACCGTTTTTCTAATTTATCTTACTTCAACTAACTGCACTCATGAAAATTGCCTTACCATGTTCAGCAAATGTTCTGACCATTTAAACAGATGGCTCACTACCTCATTGATAGGTTTACCATAATTATTTAACATCTCCCATAAATATTGTTCACGGCAGTGTCCCACTCAATGTGAACAGTAGGATGGATATTCGAAAACCTGTAATTATTGTTGTAGTTCTAACTGTGACTATGTCTTGCACTGAGAAAGTAGGACAGAAGAGTCAGGTGAACACTCCAATACCCTTTTAATAGACAGTCAGATACCACGACGGTTTCAAAGATGAAATATGCTAGTAAATGACAAAGGAGTTTTCTTTGCTGATGCTGAGAATTTCTTAGTCAACAGTTGATAAGTTTTTCTGAGAACATTGCTTGTACCACCCAATATTTCAAACGGAAATGTCGACAATGATTAATTTTAGTCTCAGATTTACCTTATTTAAAAAAAATGTAATACCAGTCTACGGCCAACTAGTCATACTATGTAATGTTTTTCATTTTTATCCCAGCAAAATGTAAACGTATGGTAACGTGCAAAGTTTTTCTGTGTTTCAAATTGGGTATCATTTTCTTGTTGGCAAATAAAGTTGACTAATAATGTCCAGTGAAATGAACGAGTACAAATAACTGAATTAAGTTTTAAAGAGGTCCTTTTGTGAGTAATTACTTTAGAGGGGAACACATAAGCTATAGGTTTTGGATTCAAATCTAAGGAACAATGTCGCTATCTACTGGGATGCCGTTTATTCCAATTGATGCGTGAGTGGTATACGAAATACTGCGTTCAAACGTTTTTGCAAGGATCCATTAGGTAAATGAAGTGCTAAACAGAAATTCAGCTTTGCTGATTTGTCTTTATATGTAAATAAAATAAGGTCACATAAAGCAGATGAATACGTTACATGTGTTACAAATAAAAATACAGCCGGAGTATATCTGTAGTTAACAAATAGTCTGGCCTGTGTTTTGATCGAAATGACATATTTTGTGATCTTTGCCATTATTAAGCATTAAAAGTACTACACTAGAATGCAAATTTATTTCAGCATCTACCGCAGTCTAATTACCTGTTTCCACGAGAAAAGCCGAGGTCTCGAGTTTATGGCCGATATCCCAGTATTTGCCGCATGCCGTGTTTTAGATGTCCATCTCTTTACTTTTACGGTATCTTCTTAGACAAACTCACATTTACCTGGAGCAAAAATGACACTAATCGTGTTCACAAGACACTGGTTCATATGTGCTTCAATGAAAATTTTCGGTTACGGCTTTCACGTGTTCTACGACAACGACCAGGTAACCACTCATTTCTCATTAGTTTATTTGTTTTTTAACAGAACTTGTGTGTAGATAAACAAGAAAGTGTGTTTGTAGCGAGTATAAGTAAAACGTTGATATCAACTGTTTAGAGTGGCTTATCGCAAAGTATTTTTATTTATAAATTCACATCCTAACACAGACCATATTTTTACAAACGGCACTGTTTTCGGTCAAGTAGTTATTCAAAATTAAAGCGGTTGGAATATTGGACCTCTATGTATTGAATGAATTCGGATAAACTTAGAATGAGATTATCCCTAACTGGGTGATCCTTTTAATTTACCTAGAAAGCACTATTGAGTGGTTGCTCATATGAAGATAAGATGCTCTTCCCATGCAAAATATTATGAGGATGTCAACAACATTTTTTTGATTACAGTAATGCCAATATTTTTGATGACAGTCTTAAGATATGGCTATGTGGTGAACAATAATCAGTAGTAAACTGATTGTCGCCAAATATGACTTATATTTCAACCATAAAGATATACAACATTCATTTATTGAAACAGTGGCACTGACTTTATGGGATACTGATATCTATTCGAAGTTTGAAATATATAATGTACCACTGTCTGTTTCCAGGCATACAGTATGTGGTTAGTCTATCGATACTTTAGTGATGCAAAAAATGCTTATAAAACTTTGTGTTCATCGTAAAACTGATGCAGTTAGAGGTAACCTAATTGTGAACTCCTGTAGAAGGAAATAAGTGGGCCGCTAAACACTTGGAGTGACATCAGAGAACTAAATTTAAAAAATCAAAAATATAAACTGCTGAGTGGTGTGAGTTATCATTTTTAGCTCTGTTTAGTTGTGAAGGAGCACTAAAAATGTCACTTTAGTTGTGCAAACCACGATGTTTGTGAAGCCTTACTATATAGTTGAACTTCAATCTTTACTAGTTCTTAATATAAAACTGTTGAACGTTACTCATTTTCTAGGGAATTGTTCATAGCACAAATTCTTATAATAATAATAATAATAACCTGTTCTTAGGTGTAGATCATCGTTCTGAACTGGCTATCCGTCTTTTTATAAGAAAGGTCTTCTTGGATCCTGTTGCCTTACCATTTGTCCATGAAGATAATCATAAGGTGTTCTCTCCCGCTTTTCAAAACGAAAATTTTTCATTGGCGGGTGACAACTCACTAGTTGTTGAGGATGAAGAAACCACAAACTCATTTTGGTTAGTTTATTTATATTGAGTTATATTTGTAATACTAGTGTTTGTTCTTGCACTTACATTTGATCTTCCCAACTTATTGCATTTCCTATTTGAACATTCTTTTCAAATTGTCTCACTCTAAAGGGATTTGTTGAAATTGCATATTTGTCTCTACACATCCCTGTCTTATATAAGAGGCTAGTTAATCAAAAAAAAGGATATTCACATATAAGTTCTGCTGGAGTGTGATAATTCGTCCAATCCCTTTTTGTCAACTCTAGCTATTTGTGTGAAATTTGCATCAGAAAACAACTTTATTTAAGTATGCTGTAGTTTTCAGAACCACCTGATTGTTTTGATGTGTAGGAGGTAGAAAGAGAAAACCAATTTTTCAATTTACAGCTTCAAAAGTCCATTTTTGATATTGTTCATTACTGTTTAAACTACAGCTCCAAATTAATCAATGGGCTCTGCCTTATTCATGTGCATTTAACACAATATCCAATTTTTATATATCTCATAACACCAGTGGTAGACATTTCGCATGGCAGTATCCGTAAGCAATTTGAATGCATTATTGAAAATAAGGTCATTCTGATACCGTGCGTGAGTTCAGTTTGACTGAATTAAATTTTATTGTGCATATTAAGCTGAATATTTATGTAAGACCGCCTCCTGAGATGGTTAGAACATGTATCATGTATCTTGGTTCACTATTTATCCAAGTATCATTTCAATTCGTCTGTAGTTTTTTTAAAACCTTATTGTTAAATATCATTAGTTTCCTGATTTTGTTACTTCTTACGGTCAGTAGATAAGTAAAGACGATGAATTATATGGCCACCCGTTGCCAGTTACTTCCCAACCTGACTGTTCCAAACTCAGCAGCTTTTTTCGGACATAATCTCAGTTGTCTGAGCTAAATGGTCTTACGTTAAATCCTTCTAAATGTCAGGTAAACAACTTCACCTTCAGGCATAAACATGATCAGTTCACAGGTTGTTTGTAGCATAGAGGGTACTGAAATGGAAACTAAATCAAGCATAAAAAATATGAAATTGTTCTATCCTCCAACTTTTCTTGTCCATTTCTAGGAAAATGTTCCATCTAACTTACCACATTGGGACAGTCAGGAATTATTCAGCCTCTACTTTTACTATTTGTTAACTCTTGCATCTTACCTATTGTTCTTTGTTGCTACTCAAAAAGGACTATTTTATATTGCGAAGGGTATTAAAGGTTGTCAGTAGGTCAAGTGGTGTGCCACCAAGTAAGCTCGTCAATACTGTAGCCAACAGACATCTAAACTCATGCGAGAAATTGTCCAAATCCATAATGTCTGACTCTCAATACCCTCTCTATTCATAGCTCTTCCCTTGCATCCCATCAGGTAGGTAAGACTAGAAGTCATTATTTGCTCGCACAACTAACTACAGAAACTCAATGATACTCTACCTGACCCACGTTCTATGTGTCAGTGCAAGTATTAAGCGTGGAACTCACTACTTACTGTGTAATCAACAAAATGAATGGCTCTTTGAACTTCTCCTAATTGTAATTTATGGTCATATCATTTCAGTTGTCTTATAATTTGTTATTATTATTAATATCAACTTACATTTTTTTTCTACATTTTTGACTTTATTGTCTCTGCTGATACCAAAAAGTTACTATTAGCAATTTCGGTTACTTATACCCTGTAATATAAATTTTTGATTTTGCTACTGTCGAGGTTAAACTGAGTCAGGTAGGGAGATGCAGACTTCCGGGTTGGGGCCCTCGGGACTCTAAGAATCAATGGCTGGAGACACTAGGTGACATGGCTCAAAATCGTTGTCAATGGCGCAGATGTATTCAGTCTCTTTAATCTTTCATATTCCTTTCTACCATTACTCATTCCGTTTCACTCTTATACTTGTCTAAATTCTATTGATTCTCTTCACTCATTTTCTTGTCTACCTTTGTGTGCTATTTGGAACGTGGCAACTCGAACTGCTGCACTTCGGTGCCAAGTTCTATGTTGAATCCAGCAGCAGCTACTGTCGAGTAAATTAGATGCAATATTGTACCAAATTCTAAGAATTCCACACTGTATCTCAAGTACTGTTTAGCAATAAAACAAATTATTATTATTTCACTTCGGTACATCCCCTCTTGTCATCTTTATTATTCTATTGTTCCATATTTTTTTCTTCATTATTCCTTTCTGAAATAGCAAAATTTTGTCGTATATTAGCGCTTCTCAGTTTCTAAATGAAACTAGTATGGTGTTTATAAAGTTAAAAAACTTTGCGTTGGACTATTTTAATTGTATAATGGTTTTAATCAGACTACTATTGTTTTATCAGTCAGTTTACAGGATTGAAATAATCACTTCTTGTTGGCAATTATTATGAGATGTTATACATTAATTTAATTTCAAGTAGAATGAGATGCACATAAGTATTTAATGCAGATTCAATTTATAAGATGGATGTACATTCATTCTAATTGAAAATAGCAAATAATAAGTTAGTCGCCCCTTAATTCAGTTAAAATTTTCTCTTTTTATAGTGCTGTCGCAGGGCCATCGTCTTCATTTGTGGCTCTGCCTCCTCCTCAATTTCCATCCTCCAGTGGCGGACTGTCCATAAGATATAACTGGAAAGCTTCGGGAATTTTGATGAAAATTCTGAGGCCTTATGATATCCAAAAGCAACTTAGACTTTTATTTATTCTTTACGGACCAATACATAGAGGTAATTAAATGAATATAGATTTATATTTAACCTTGTTATTTAAGAGATAAATGTGCTGCCGATTAAAATAAATGCAGTTTGTTTATGTTCACTAGAAATAGCGCAATAATATATTTCATTGTACATCCACAACAGTTTTAATGTGTAGTTGTCACCGTATTGATTATGAATTCCATTTTAGAGGCCTGAATGCTGATTTATTTATGTGTTGATTGGTCTGTTGAAGTTGTTTCCTTTCTACTGAGTATTACTGCCTTATTAGTTATTTAAATTCAGCTACCCAGCAGAGATTTGTCATATGCTAGGCTTTTAGTCATACATATAGCATGATAACTGACAAAATCTTCCAGACTGAAATCGATGTGGGAGAATCGGATTACCCTATATACTGGCTGAAAGTGAGTAATCAACCTCTATTCAAAGGAAATAAAGCTCTAGTGAAATAAAACTGCTTGAAAAGGGATTAAATTTCAATATAACGCTCAGTAAACTAAAACCAGAAGATGTCATCCCTAACATAGAAGTAGCATTAAGTTCAATAGATAAGACGACAGCAGAAGAGTTTCGAACCCAGTGTGCATTAACTCTTAAAAAGCAAAAGTAACCACAGTCAAACTTAACAAAATCGGAAAGATTGGCTCTAATTAAGCTTAAAAAGAATAAAAACATCGTCATCACAAAAGCTGATAAAGGAAAATCTACAGCAGTTTCGATTATATAAAGAAAGTCATTGAACACATTGAAACAGGTCCATGTAAGGAAATTAAGAAGCCTGTAGATACAGTAATGAATAAGATTAGGAAGTCTACAGCAGATTTAATACGCAGAATGAAGCCGTCACTATGTGAGTCTAAATGGTTTAATTTAATGCCTAAAAATAATAACGCTAGTTGAATATATGGTGCTATAAAAATACATAAACCAGGTTACCCTATAAGACCAATAGTAGATTTCAGAAATATGCCTACATAAGAATCATCAAAACACTTAGTCGTAATACTATGTCCCATCATAAATTATTCAAACTCTAGGCTAACTGATTCATATGAAATGAAAGGGAAACTAAGTAACATTCAATTAGAGAATAATGAAAAATGGTTAGTTTTGATATAACTAGTCTTTACACTAACATACCAATCAGTATGGCCTTAGAAGCGGCTAAATGAAAAATAAATTCTGATCCCGAACTTATTCATAGGACAAAGCTGCCCACTGACGAAATTATTTTGTGAATTCAGTTATGTCTCACGTCTAAGGTATTTGAATTCCGGGGCAAAATATATAAACAAGCAGACGGTATAGCAATAGGATCCCCAATGTCCCTATCGTAGCAGATATTTTACGAATAGCTGGGAAAATATTGCTCTAAATACATTTAATCCTCCTCCAAAAATATGGTGGAGATATGTGGATGACACTTTCACAGTGTTAGAAGCGGAACATTTCTCTAGCTTCTTGACGCATATAAACTCACTAGTGAGGGGAATAAAATTCAGATTTGAATCGGAAAATCAACAAGGAGAATTAGCTAAGTTAGATTGTAAAATAAAACGAACAGAAGAAGGTAAACTGCACACTAGCGCTCATAAAACACCAACGCATTCTAATAGATATTTAGACTTTAATTCATCTCGTCCGTTGTCTGTAGAGATCAGGCTTAGTTAAGTATCTTACAAACCGAGCAGTAGCACTAAGTAGTACAAAAAAGACCAAAATGATGGAATGAAACAGATAGAAGAAGCGTTGGTATCAAATAACTGTCCTATAAAATTCATTAGGAAGATCAGAAAAGGTCAAAAGCAATATAATATATATATATGTTGGGAAAACTAATAATGATAACATAAATAAGAGAGAATCTAAGGCATCCACAGTCAGTCCTATCATCAAATGAGGAGGGGACATCTGAGGCCCTAGGTAGGGTTCTCAATAAAGCAGGAATTGGGGTGGCATACAGACCTACAAACTCACTCAGGTGGGACAAGCTCTGTAGGCTAAAGGACCCGGTGGACCCAATTAAAGAGAATAATATAATTTGCGAAATAGCTTGCAATGACTGTGGGTTAGGTCAACTACATAGGTGAAACTAGTAGAACAGGAGTAGTGAGATTGCTTGTCAGAGCATAGAAAGTAGCTAGGGTTAGACTGATTGATCCTACGAAGATAAGTAATTTGGAAAGAAGCTCAGCACTACATTGCACTGCATGCATTAACACACAACCACACAATGAGGTGGGCGGGACAGAGTCGAAATTCTAAAAAGTAGTATAGGTAGATGGAGAGAGAGAGATTGATTACTGTATCCTGGTTCATCGAGTCTACACCCAACGCATGCGACAGAAATGACTCAACGCAAATACCAGAAATATGGAAGGTATTATTACCAGTCAAATTAGAGGATAATAAATAATATTAAAATGTATTCAATCCACATTATAACAATCTAGCAAGTTATTTAATTGTTTCTATGAAATTATCTTCCTTCCCACCTTGTTGTTTCTCTTCGGATTTCCGAACATCATTCTGCGTGGTTAAGTAAAGAGCAAACAAAATTTATTCGTAGTGCTGTTCTATCTCAAAAACAATAATATTGTTATTGACTACTATTGTGGAATATTCTGTGTATAGAAGCATATATATATATATATAATTGTAGAGCTAGAAGAGGAAATTATCGAAAAGGATATTCTCTGCTCAATTATATTGTTGTTTTTTATTGATAACACTAATATTATTTCCGAATGTACTTTGTTTTATATTGATTTTATTCGATTTTCACCCATGTATATAAATGAAGCCAGAAAGTTGTGTGAGTGCCTTGATATGATTATGAGCGATAATTTGTGCTCGAGACGTCATTAGTAAGTATTGCTGTATAACACAGTGTGATTTTATCAAAATGAAATCTTGTCTATAATGGAGTTTTACTCTACCACAGTGCTCAAGTTTTATCCCTACTTCAATGGCTGTAAGTTAGTTATCAACTGTGTTAGTTTACAGGGATTGGATCAGTTATAGGCTCGATCGCGAACTGGCATTGTTGGATAAAAGTAGAATTTGGTCACTGGTAGAATATAATTCCTTATTATATAAGTTTATTGGATGTATTTCACAGGTTTATACAGTATTAACAACTGGAATGACGTTTCGGCCATAAATTATTACTCAGGATCATATTAAGGATATCGATTCAATCATCCACTTGGTAATATTGTTCCACTATTTCATATGTAATTTACATTATTGTGACCGAAAGAAAAAGTTACTATAATATCTGAACTGAATCCAATTTCAGTGTAGAATTTCGCAGAGAAGTGCACTAATTCGAGTTGTTACACTTCATTACTGTAAACATTAAGTAAGAAAAGAAAGAAATACAAAGAAAAAATAACTCACTGTCCGAAGATTGATAACATCGTAAATAGTGGCGATTTGGTCGATCTAGGAGATCACAGAAGATGAATCTATCTGAGACATTGCTAGTGATTTTAGGCAGTATAACCAACAATCCGTAGTCATCAGTTCATAGCACGTTTCTAATATCAGTGTATTCCGTTCAATTATTTTTACAAGCACCAAACAGCCAGCTGTTCATAAAGTTTACAACGGCCTGTTGGAATTGCTTTCGATGAGGCGCGCACAATCACTCACTGTCTTGACGTTAGTGTGGAAAATTCCCACTTTGTTTCATCTAAAAAGTGTTGTGGATCTTCACACTGAATTCAGAGCAGTGAACTCATCTCTTACTTTTCCGGTTCTATCCTGACCACCGTTTCACATTCTCATCCATTCTCTCCCCAGTAATTGAAAGGGTTCTGTATAGACAAGCAAGTGAAAGCGGTGACAACTCCATTTAGATTTCTCCTGTTGATGCTGATTGGTGATTGTTGCTAGCTGTCGGTTATCTTCATCGCCTCTGTCTTCTCTATGTCTTATCTCGTTTTTTCATTGTCTTCTTCTTTTTTCTCTGAAGTTGACAATCCAGTTATGATCCTACTGGTAACTGTTTAACGTTCATTTAACTAGATATTAGAATGGAATTTCATAAAAGCAAGTGTATAAACAAGGTTGATAATCACTGAGCAGGAGTATTAACCAATTGAGAATTACTCTGAATATTGTTTGTGTTAAATGTTTGAGTTAGTTTTGCAATTTAATTTATTAAGTGAAAGTATTAGTGAATTGAAGAGTACTTACTTCTGGACATATTCTCAAACAAATGTTTTTACATGAAGTGAAGGCATTAAGTCAGGAAAAAGTTGGTATGTGCACACAGTTTCGTAAAAATATATGTTCAATGAATTCCCACCAGTTTAGCTAGAGTGATCATTTTGTTTCTAATTGCTTTCGTAAGCCAGCTAGGTATACTTTGGTAAAGTAATATAATTACACATAAAAGTAGAGTAACTGATTATTTGTTAAAATGACACACACCCGAGACAGACAACCCATAGAGTGAAATTTATCACCTTCAAATCAGTGTTAGTGGTTCGGTACTATGCACGGAAAACTTTCTCATAAAAAGCGAAGTGACTCTTGCTGTTAGGATTATTTGTCTACTAGAAGACCTTGGGTACCATTTGTTTAAAGTCAACACATTCATTCATTGCTAAATAACGCAGCATAAGTATACAGGTTTTTTGTTATTCAATACAAATCCTTTATTATAATTACCACTACTTTTTTATCAATAAATTACTACTCAAATTCTCAGGGTATCTAATGTGGCGAACAGTGAGTCGAAATACTGCTGCTGATAGGGATCAATTATTCGCTTGCTTTGGAGAACTTGGAGGTGCTATATGTAACATGCTTTATTCCGGCTTATGGACATCTGAAGATGTTATTCGTATTTTCGAAAATATTACTGTTTTGCCGAATGAATGGCTATCAGAAAATGTTGCTTGTTTATTACATTGCTCAGGTTTGTTTAGTCTTTTTATCATGAACAAATTAACTTTTATGAAATTCAAAAGAGTGAAAATAATCTGAACAATCCTATCTTGTTTTGTTTAGCACCTTTCCAAGGGCTTGAAGCACAGACTTTGTAATGCATAGGTAGTAGTAGTGTTATGCTTTTCCATGTCATCTTTCACTATGTGCATGAATTTGTGTTTGGATGTCACAGCACTTGTTTGTTTGTAAGATCAGAAAGATTGGTAGTTTTTAGGCTTGAATTGCGATTGCTCTGTGTATCTCACAGTCGTATCTCATTAGATTAACTTATTGAGATGTTTTGTATCGTTTGGGGATTAAAAATGAAGAGGTTACGTAGAGTTTCATTTATTGAGGACTATAACTGTTAAGTTATTTGAGCTTAATTTGTCTTCAAAAATAAAAGTACTGACAACCTTTCCCATACTCTATGAACTTGTATTGTTCACCTATTGATATATGCACATAGCATATCTCATCAGTCTGGTATATGTCCACAATTCAGCTCATTCATCTGTTATTCAGACAATAACAAATAGCATATTGTCACATGATGGGTGTCAACCAATCGGAATCCAGAACTATCTTAGCACCTACTACCCAAGGCTTGTACTAGATCAATACATGTCATGATTTTATATACTCTTTGTCACTTTCTCTCTCTCTCTCTCTATTGTTTTGGAAATACACGTCACCAAGCCTATTGTGTGTCATCTGGAATTTACTAGTTAGGGTCAGAGTATAATCGACTAGGAAATGTAAGTATGAATGTAGGTATCTTCATATCGTTAAGTTATTCAGAAGGCACGATTATGAGTGAACTAGTATTTGGACACACTTATTTTAATACATTTAAGTAGTCTAGCTACTTTTTGTTTACGTCCAGTCGGAAATTATCGAGTGTTCATTATCGTCAGCCAGCGTTCGTATTCACACCTGGAGACATCATAACACGTATATTTTCATTTGGTAAACTTTTGTCAAACTTCATGTCTTACTGTACATGGATTTCAAATATGCTAGAACAAGCAACAAAGATTAATAAAGCAGGATTTAATTAATCCATCAAATCTCGGTAGAACTCGTCAGCTGAATACTCTACATAAACGGATATATATATACATTGGGAGATATAAAACTGATAAGCAAATAAACTACATTGAATTAAAAATTCCCGTAGCGTGTCATCAAAACAAGGTGATTTGGAGCGAAGAACAATTGTTTGCGATAAATTCTTCTTCAGACTCTACAGTTATAAATCCATGATTATTATTATAATACAAATAGCCAGCCATTGAAGGCATGTGAAAACCATAACGGAAGTTTTATTGGGGTACGTGCATAATATGTAGTGATAGTTCACAGTATTTCACTATTGTCAAATGAACGTAAATAAAAATGTGAAGTCGTCATTCAGAACATAAGATAAAGTGTGAATAGACATAAGCGTGACATAATATCAATGCTTTTATGGTCAACAGAATGTAAGTTTCATTCAGGGGAGGAGGTGAGTTATACTCAGTTGTGTGCCACGAAAATGATTACCAAAAAATACATACAAACAAATACCGAAAATCGGGGAACATTGAATGTAAGTTCAAGCGACGGCCGACAGACATCAAGTGTGGTGATAAAATAAAGAGGTTAAATTGTCATCATTATTATTACTATTATTATCATTATTATTCCTATTATTACCACTAGCATTCTTGTTCTCATTGTTATTACTGTCGTCATTCTTCTTTTTCTTCTTCATATTATTATAGTAATCCTTATTATTCTTATCATAACAATCCTTATTATTACCAATACTTTCATTATCCTTATTGTTATTATTCCTATTCTTACTATTATCGTCAGCTTGGTTTCCGTGTAGCACATCGGGCTTCCGCAGCACATCTGCGTTTTGTGTTGTTCTCTGAAGTCCTCTTCATCTGGCGCCACGATAGCCCATAAGTTTCATGTCGCCATTTGGGAATTTATCCACTATTGTTTATAGTTGTTTATAGGAAGCTTCTTTCTCTTCTTCTGAGTTGTTTGTTGGTGCGTAGCATTGGATGATTGTGGCTTTGCTTGCTTCTGAGTTGAATCTTGCTGTCATTATCCCAGAGGGTGAGATTGGTTCCTACTGGATAAGAGCTTTGGCTGATGTTGATGACATCATGATAGCCATTGACTGCCTCAGTGTGCTCGTCGGTTGTCGTCTGGGTTGACGGAGTGGGTTGTCGACTCGCCAGTTGACAATTTGGAGAGTGCACTTCCATTCCACCTGCTCTCACGGACTCCTAACACTTCCATGCCATATCTCCTTATTTATCGGCAATCTGGGAAGACTTCCCAGCTAGCTTTGTACATTGTGTGGACATTCCAGGTTCTGGTGTCAATGTTTGCTTTGATGGAAAGAAGATACATTAGCTGACTGGCTCCATGAAGACTTTGACCAGACCGAATCATTCCGTCTCTCTGATTCAAGCAAGCAGGTATGAGTTTTTGTGAATACAATTTTTGTCGTGTTTCTCAGTTTCTGTAGCGATTAGACTGATTTTTCGGTGTAGGGTGGCTATCCTCACACGTAATGTTCCTTCTTTTCCCGGGCTTAGAACCAGCTAGAAAACCAGTGAACTAGTTAATCAGTCGAGGTTAAACTGACGGACTTTATGTGGATTGTTACTTATGCTAACCGACTTATTCAATGTCTTAGTTAAGTGTCGAGGATATTGGTTATTGTCAACAGATTTGCCGCGCTTTCGTTTTAGTACGCTTGAATACTTTGAACGGAGGTGATCAATTTTAGTTTGACTTTCCTCAGTCAGTTGGTCTTCGCGCTCAAAGTGATGCTGTAACCATGTCAAATGTTACGATCACTCTTTTTTAGAGCTGTTTTATCAACTTCACGTAGGTGCAATATCTGTTATGGCGTTTGATATTCAGTATGCGAAAATACCTCGCTCTAATGAAGTTATCTTGTCACCTACATTCATCAGTATTCTGGTTCTTATTCATCTCATTTTTCAAAATGATTTATTCGTTTATGTTTATCATTGAGACAATTTAGTGATTATATGAGATAATAGATAGTTTAATCGTACCAATGTCTGTTATTGTTCTGTGACTCGCTAAATATTTTGTCGGAAGCACGCAAGTCAGTAGTCTGTGACTTCATCAAATATGGCTTGAAATCAAAATTCGTGTGACTTCATGGCAGTTTTATTATATTTCCTGATTTTGAAAACGCGTTTAGCTTGCCTGCTTTGATTGTCCCACCCACTCTTTCTATTGCCCGACTTAAACAGAAGTTATGAATGTCATAGAGTTACCGAAAGCAGCAGTACCAGATGGAATCCACAAGAAATACTGAGAAGTGACCCAGATATCCCGCTTGGCTTTCTCATACCACTGCTGCAGAGGATGTGGAAGGAAGGAAAGGTATCTGACGATTGGGAGGAATACTATCTTGTCAGACGTCTTAGGAACAGCGACCGAAACCTACGGAAGAACTACCGGGACCATGGTGCTGTCCACCTCAAGCAGAGTGTTAGGCCTCATTGTGTGGGAAAGACTGAAAGATGTCTTCTACTGAAGACTGCTTCTGAGACAGATTAGAGTAGGGGAAAACATTTTGCGTTGACCAAGCTCATCTTCGGGCAGAGCCTAAATTGATTTTGAGAAGGCCTTCAATATATGGTTGATCATTACGTAATCCTGCAACTGCCTCAACACTACGGAGTTCACTGCCGCAAACACGTATAAAACCGATGATAGCGTTTTCCAAATAATTCACAGGAGTGTGCTTACTGAAACGGTCGACGTGAAGGTAGGGGTAAGAATGGCTTTCTATCGTCGTGAATCTTCCTGGATGTACTGGAGTGGATCATGCAGTAGACCATAAGTACTGAGAAATCAGGCTTTTGTTGGATCGAATAAAAGACCCTGCAAGAGCTTTATTTCTCGGATAATTTATGCGTCGTGTCATAGAGTGAAAATAAACACTAGATGAAGGATATTGAGGATATTCAGGATCTAGAAGCTCACAACAAGTAAATACATCTAATTCATCGAAAGAAGATTTTATGCATGTCACAAACAGTCTTCAGTTATTGGTTCTTAGCTTCTTGGGCACCACAGGTAAGCAGTCTGTACGTCCCTGCGCTACTCAAAACAGTAAAACAAGACTTCGTAGGTTGATGACATGCTTTAGTCGGATCAACCCTAGGTCTTCAGATAACATCTTCTAGGAAGGAGGTAGCTCGTCTCCTCTCCTATATACAACTGGTATGACCAACGATCTACACCTATATGGAAGTCCCAAACACTACTCTAATACCTTAGTCAATTTAGTCAATACTTTATCACCACCATATCAAAGCACCTCTTCAGTCCTATCATGAATTTCTACTGTTTTGTGTCGATCTAAATCGAAGATAGTTTTCACAGTCTTAACCCAACTGAGATAGTGGTTGGGTAATTGGCAGATGATTTATGTCCCATGTTACACAAACCTGAAGATAGACAAGCGGAAACCAACAAGTTAGGCGAGGAGGCAGCCAAGATAGAACTCCATGTGGACATAGAGAAGACAGGCGATGAAGATAACCGACAGCTAGCAACAATCACCAATCAGCATCAACAGGAGAAATCTAAATGGAGTTGTCACCGCTTTCACTTGCTTGTCTATACAGAACCCTTTCAATTACTGGGGAGAGAATGGATGAGAATGTGAAACGGTGGTCAGGATAGAACCGGAAAAGTAAGAGATGAGTTCACTGCTCTGAATTCAGTGTGAAGATCTACAGCACTTAGTAGTCTTAATGGACTCTTCTACCTTGTACCTATTTGTAGTTTACTAGTGCGAAGGCTTTAAATCTTAAGTATTTATCATCGGATTTACTTTCTTCATCTGCTTACTTTTGAAGGTTGTTTTGAACTGTCGGCATCTGTTTAACCGGAGTTCAAATGTTCTTCAGTCACACTTTTAGTGTTTATTTCACTGAGTAGTAGTAGGGGAAGTGGGATTTCGTTAAACCAACTGGTTAACACTATTGTGGATAGACATATAATGTTATGTAAGAAACTAGCGAATTCTATATTGTCAGACCGCGAACACCCTCTCTATACGCAGCTCTCTCCTTGCATTTCATCTGGTAGAACTAGAAGCAACTATAGGAGGCTATATGCCAGGACTACCAAGTATAAAAACTCCACAATACCTTATCTGGCACAGCTGTTATGTGATGAGAAAGCTGTTAGGCATGACACGATCACCTTACTGCGGCACTCTAACAAATAGTTCCCATTAGCTTTTGTTCTCCTTTCTTTGTTACTATTATATTGTTATAAGATTTGATAGTGTCGAAAATTCCCATATTATGAATTAAAAGTCAATCTGAACGAAGAATATTCTTTTCAATAATTTCTCTTCAGGTTCTTACAATTATAAAATATAATATTTGTTGTCGTTACAATAAGGCCAGTTATGCGGCAGATACATTTTTAACGTAGAATAACAGATTAGTTATGGGGTGTCAAAATAAATAGTCGTATTTGTGTGACAAACGTGCTAGGCTGAATTCGATTACAAAATAATGTAAAACGGGAGACAATGGTGATTAATCATAATAGATTTGTAGAGTGGGGGTAGGAAAATTGACAAGTCAGTTCAAGGTTATAAAAGGGTGTCAGGTGAGTGGCTAGTACAAAGTGGTCTGTGTTAAACAGGAGATAGTAAGACTGCATTGGGAGGTTCATAATGAGATAACGAATATGTGAAATGAAACAGGTGGAGGCATATATTGAGAAAAGAGATTATGTCACTAATAATAAGTCCGGATAGTATAAACGAAAAAAAAAATTCGATAGTATTGAGAGAATGTTTGCATGAAGGGCATAAATTATGACGAATGATGATAATATTAATAATAATAATAGTAATAATTGTAATAATAAGCAAAGGAAAAAAAAAGCCAAGAGGGTTAAGGGGAAGGAGCACTCTTGGTGAGAAGAGGAATCATCAATCCAAGTTTGGCCACGGTAGGAACAGCGTCTGGACGTGTTCTTTTTGGATACAAAGTTCCGGTTTAGTCGATCTTATTGCAACAGCTTCAGCTATGTGTAGAAGACGTAAGCGAACTGTACGTGATAACGACTTCGGAATTCGGTATATAACCCTGAAAGCTGTGTTGACATCGATATGATGTCCAGTATCGACCAAGTGTGACAGGATCGAGCTTTTTATGCACTTAATTTCCCCTCTGCTGAACCAAGCTGGTATATGTTCTCGAACCCGTAGACGAACCTGCCTAATCGTGCGCCCTATATAACTTGAACCACAGGAACAGTTGAAATGGTATATGCATGAAGAAGAGCTAAGATTAGGTAAAACATCTTTGAGTTGCTGGGTGAACATTGGACGGCTACTGAAGGATAGACACAGACGTGCAGAGTAGAAAGTTTTCTTGATCGCCCTGGTTAAACGTTGCGATAGAATCTCCGCAGGAGTATCTCCCTTGAATTGGAGACGTAAAAACAGAGGCTTTTTCTCCACCGTTGTCAGTTCATGTTTACGGCTATTGTAACCTATGTTTGCTTTAATGAACTTCTCTGGATATCCGTTCTCACTTAGAATGTCTCGGATGACCTGGAGTTCTTTCTCTACACAGTCTTCGGAACAAATCGACCTTGCTCTAAATGCTAAGCATCTGATCAGATTGCGTTTGTATTTCATCGGTACAAAGCTAAGGAAGTGTGTATACTGAGCTTTGGTCTCTAGCTTTCTAAATATGGTTCTTTTGACGGAACCATCCTCTCTTCTCGTTAGTAGGACGTCGAGGAAGTGTAGAGAGTCGTTGCATTCTCCTTCGTAGGTGAAATGGACCGCTGGGTGAGCATTATTGAAGTTGCTCAAAATCAAATCACTACTTAACCCTTCAGAGAAATTATTGAAAAGAATATTCTTCGTTCAGATTGACTTTTATTATATTGTTGCTCACATATTCTATTACACACAAATTTGATATTTCATATCCTGTGGTGCATTGTTTAAATATGTGAATGCAATGCTGTTCTTTTTCTATTTCTTTTATTTCTCTTTTTGTCTTTTTGTTGTTGTTGCTTTTTATTTTTAAAATCTTACAAAATTTATGAGGTAATTAGATGCAATATTGTAATGCACGCTGAAAATTCCATACCTGTACCTGTGTTTTATTTATTTTGTAATTGATTCTTACAGCAACTTAATAATCTTTACAGTCAAATAACTTAGAGGATTTTTGAGAACCTTAAGGAAATCACTTGTGAACATTTAAAAATAGGCATAAAAGCAGTATTCTGAAATAAACTTCGAATAATTCCGAAGTTACTTCATATCCCATAAGAGATATTTGTTTATACAACTCAAATCAAATGTATTCAGCAAAGAAGTCTACACTAATCGGTCTCTGTCTTCTATCTTAACTTATCCTGGTAATGCAACCATTTTAGTTTTTGAGTAGCTGGTAATAACCTTACAAATAATGTGATTTCATATTATTCATATTCACTATGATGGTTTTATAATCTTATAGACTCAAGTTTATTATATTAAGTAGATTTTTATTGTTTTCAAGCTTTTCATAGTGATATTCCCACTGTTTTTATATATTTTTCCATTTTTTCCAAGGACCAAATGTGGCATCTATTGTTTTGAGAAACATGTCGAGAAGTGGGAAAATTTCTGAGGCCGCCAGGATCCTTACCTCGTTGTGTTTAGTTCAGGTAGGTTGGTCATTTGTGTCGTTTCCGTCTTATAGTTAAAGTTTACAAATCCATCCATAACATTATTTCAAGCTTTCCTACTGTTGGGAACTTGTGTAGAGAAAGTGACAGTCTGACTTCGGTTGAAGAAGTCTTCTTTTATAAGCCATGACATAATAGCCAAACGTGCTTATTTTAATGATTCACTCAAACTGTATTAATTAAAATGTCTTTTAATTAAAGCTCTATCTTATTAGAATTATTAGTTACAAAAGACTTCTTCCCAAAATAAGTTATATTCTTGCTCCATTGAATTATGGTTATCTGTAAAGTAAATGAAACTTAACAAAATTCATGTTATGAGTATATTCAATATTTCAAGTTGACAGGAACAAGAAACTGTAGTGATTTGTAAAACCCAAAAGAAATGAGATTAGAGCAGTTATTCATGGATGAAACAATAACTGTGTAGGAGTTAAACTCAATGCTACGTCGAGGGATTTACGCATAACCTTTGTCTTTACTATGACCATCTAAAAATGTTAATCATTGTAGATAACTTTGTAATTACATCTATTTTAAAACCCAAATATATATAAAAAATTTATTAGCAAAAATAGTGTCAGTGAGTATCTGTATTATCTGAAAGAGATTTGGTTACTTAGCCAAAGGTTTGGTATATTTCTCAAATACACAATAATCGACTTTTGGGAAAAATCATTGTTAATGACGATCTTGTCCTTACAATGAAATCATTTATGTAGAGCTACATATTTCTGAGCATACAGGAGAGAGGGCAGAACCCTACAGAATAATAACCGTTTAAAGCATTTTGATACCTGACTGGAAATTATTCTTTGTGATGATATTAGATGGTTAGAGGCAATCGGCAGGAAGCCTTGGACCTAGGTTTCGTGCTAGTTGGTACTCACCAATCAGCAAGGCGTATCTGCAACCTTGAAGGAACTCATATCCCTTCCGAGATTCGAACCCGCGTCACCCAGTGCTGCAGTCAGAGACGTTACCACTGAGCTATTCGGGCTCGCGATTGACCTCCTGTAGTACTGTAGTGGATATTTTGATTTGACACTAGTAACTAGTGTGATGCGTCTAGTCCTCTCTTTGGTGCAGACTGAATTCTATCAGTCAGGTTGTAATGTGGCCACCATTCTAGGTAGCTCGCCATCACGGTGTACATTGTTTGTGATGATATTAGATGGAAATTATTCTGTCGATTATTGTGTATTTGAGAAATATACCAAACCTTTGGCTAAGTAACCAAATCTCTTTCAGATAATGCAGATACTCACTGACACTATTTTTGCTAATAAATTTTTCAGTATATTCAGGCTGTACAGAATTATTAGTAATTTTTTAAATCATAAAATCAGATTACATTGAAATAAGTTGCTATAATATGGTAATTATTTTAATCAGTCATCAGCAGTTTAAGGTATTCCTGCAAATCTAGTCTTTAATCGATTATTATTTGTGTGTGAAATTAACATGAGTCGCTTTCTGTTTAAGTATTTAAGTTCACTTAACATTCACTGACTAAAATATAAAGGCTAGGAAGTGAGTCAGTCAACCATCCAATGGTTACTTAAGTACTTCTTGCATTTTTAGAAATTCCGGCTACAGATAACTGTAGTGTTCATTATAGTCTTTGTCTATACTTGAAGTGGAGTAAATTTAACTGTTTTTATACAACTCAGTTACCCATTCCAGTATCGTATTTATTGAACTTAGTGATACATTGTGTATAGATGCTTTTGATACCAGCTGGTTGTTTAGGTCGAAGTGAAGTGGAAATCAAGCATGATACCTATTTGAAGGAATGTTAAATACTCAGGCCAACGGTTCGCATAAACTTTTTATATCGTTAACTCTGAATTTGAACTGAATATCAATGTACACTTTATGCTGATTGTCGTTTTTTGATTTTAAAGTACTAGAGATTAACAAATATTTAGTTTAAATTGGATATACAGAACACTTTCTGATAAATACTACTATTTCTTATTGTGTGACAGGTTAAAATAGACTCAAGACTAACAGATTTTGTTCCCCTTGTCACCGAAGCACTTAACGCTGCGAAAAGGAGAGATAAACCTAGATTTCTTGATCAATTATCTCGATCTTTCTATGACATCATGTATGATCTGTACCAAGAAAATGAATTTGGTATGTAAATGTTCACGTTAAGAAAGCCTGTTCTACTTCTGTGTTTTGTTAGTTTTGTGTTACATCAAAAAAAGCATATTTACGTGTATCTTATTTTCTTAAAACTCAAGTTACAAAAATTGTCTCCCTATACACTCTGTTTCACTTACATGGACAGTGGAAAGTACAAACAATGGTCGATCGCATTGTTCCTGCATTTAGAGATTACATCAAACACTGATTGACTAACTTCATGATAATTCTGATTCCCTTCAAACTCTTTATGTAAATAGCCGTCTAACAAATAGTTTTGAGATGGATCTTCTGAATTTGTTATGAAAAGTTAATAAAAACACCAAGAAAGTCGCATGTGAGGAACATTATTCATAGTATATCAGGAACTGGAACGAGGCAGAGAACATAGACCACCATTCTAACTAAAAGATAACGTGTTTATCCTGCATAGGTTGGTGACTGTGCAATGCTGGAGAGTCTTAAATTAGAACAAAACAACTATTCAATGCTCTTTGGTTGGTATTGTAATTGGTTCGCGATAAAAACAGTAATTTTCTTACTTAGGATTAAACACCGCTTTGCTAAGAAGCACGCTTCCACTCAATGTATTTCGTGAATTGTTACTTCCTGCTCTAGTTTTAAAAATGGTTCATTTAAGTCACATGTATAGTTGAGATCCGGGATGATTTAATATCTACTAAAGTTGTTAAGAGTCTTATCTAGAGATCACTAAGTCACAATAAAACATTCAGTGAGTGTTGAGACAGTTATGATGTTGTGATCGTAAAAAGGATCTGCCTAGATTATAATGAACAGAGTTGAAATTGTACATAAGTTAATTCCCTGGTGACTGTATACGGCAGTTGCAACAATAAAATCACGGTAAATTGGATTTTAAAAAATTTCCACGAAATCTTATGTCTCTGACGAACTAGAACTGATCTTCTGTGGTTTACTAATTGTGAGAAGTTATCGAAAGGGCATATAAATGCAATGTTTCAGTGAGACCAAATTTAAACTCACCATTCTACAAGCCTACCTGTCAGTTAACCAAACATCCTGAAGCAATTTTCGCCAAGTTGACGGTATATAATATGATATTCACGATAAAGTAAACCGTTCTAAGCATTTAGAATAAATTTACAATGGCGTTTTTAGTGTTTTAAATACTCCTTTCGAAAAAAAGTCCATAGATTATGTCACGATTCAAACAGCTTTCGGTGGTGTGCATAAAAATGTACATTTCAAACTTGACAACACTATGTCCTCACACTACCTGAGATATCTTCGTAGGTAACATTAAGCACAGCATCATGCTATCCGTAATGGATAAACCACGACAAGAGTGCCTTGATATGGTTATGAGCAAAAGTTGTGCCCAAAAATATCATCAGTAAACATTACTGTATAACACTGAGATTACCAAATAAGTATACTACACGATGGAATTATATTTCACCGTAGTACCCAAGTTCTATTCTTACAAATAAGAATAATAATAAGAATATTGACAACAGATTTATTGTCTGCAATGGCTACTATATAAATGAGAACATGGAATTCACCATGTGATATAACAAAAATTACAAATCTTATTTTCAAAACTTTTGAGATCCTATCAAGTGCAAAGAAAGACGTACAAAAACCAATTCTTACAATAAAAAAGCAAATGAAATAATAGTAGATTGAAAAGCAGCTAGGGATAGTCAGACAAGAACATGGTATCAATCAACAGAATTTAACTATTACTTAGAGCTGTGTGAAATGTGAAAAAGATAACCTTGGTTGGGATTAATGTGAATGAGTGGTTGAAGGCTGTTGATGATGTGGCTCAAAATCGTTCTCAATAGCACATGCATATTCACTTCTTGCGACCACCCAAATTCTGAAGATCCTTTCTATTCTCCATCTAATTATTCTTCACATCGTACATTTCTTTTCATGTTAGTTTCACTACATTTCCCTCCCCTAATTTGTGTGCTTTCCTGAAGTTTAAGTGATTATCAACACAAAGCTGTCTAATGCATTGCAATTCATCATAGTATAAATCAGGAGGAAAAATACTTCTAAGTCTAATGAACTAGTTTGAAGTTCCATATTGCACTTACTGCATTTCGCATCCCCATCTTTCCTGTTATATATCACAGCTCTATTTCGGATGATATTTTGCAACCACTGTGTAACAAGCACTACCCTATGCAAACTCCTAGATATTGAGGTGAACTGTAGACTTTCCACAGCCTTAACGGTGATGCAAGGGACTCAGTCTTACCACTTAAAAATACCTATTGTTTACATACTGAACCCATCTATCTAGGGCTTAGTGCGAAAAACTTAAGGAGCATTGAACTCTCTCGCTTATTGACAATTTTGAACGACTTTTCGACGTCCACCTCATGACCCGTGTCGAGGAGATGCCTGGCGATGGCACTGCTTAAAGCATTTGTTCCCTTTAGACGTATGCCTTTTGGTACATATTCAAAAAATCGTAGATATGCCCTTCTTTCTGTTCTTCCAATATAACGGTATAGGAATTTCCGAAGGCAGTGTAATGATTAAGCCCTAAACCTGGTGTGCCCCATCTTTATGGATCGCAAACAACACTTCCCAAAACCTCTTGCGTTGTACAGCCATTAGCATAATTTCCATCCATCAGGAGACTTGTAAAGTGAGGAAGTCCTCTTAAAACAATACGCTGCATAACTGCTCCATATATCATTTTGAAAACCTCGTCTATTACTCAATCTTTACTTTCTGTTAGGGAGCTGGACTGACACAATCATATACGGAACAGCACCGATATTAATCCAGCCACTAGTCTCAACAAGACTGAACTGAAGAAGTATTCTATACATAGCTTCCTTCTCCACGTCCGAGAGTTCGATTACTAGGTCAGCTGCCGAATCAGATACTAGGAAAAAACCATAGACATCACAGAATACTTGGCTGCAGTAATATGACTGAATCCCTAGTCTCAGTCAAATTATGTATGAATGCCTTTAACGAGTCCGCATGATAAATCTTTTACGGATATTCACTTCTCCCAGTGTTTTTCTAAGGACACCAGAAGACTTTCGGAACAGGCTTGAGTTGTTAAAAAAAGGTTTCCACAGATACTCAGCGATTGGAAAATCCTCCTCTCATGTTACCTCCTACTCTAAACGTCAGTTCACACATACGCGCAGAAATACGAATGTCTAGCGAATATATAGGAGTTGTAACGCTACACCTCAATGTGTCAGGAGAGATTAGCTCAAGTATTTCGCAGTGTGACTGAGCGTTATAAAGTAGACAGGAGAAACGAGAATAACACTGATAAATTAGCTTAATTAATTGGTGCACAGGTGAACTCAGTTGCATTCCACTAGAGTGGTAGTCAATAAACTATTGTATTTTTACTCATACATTATACCCTTCCTTTCACTTCTTTAGAGAATGTACTTATTTTAATACGAATTTCATTCTTTATGTTCAATGCAGAAAATTTCCAAACCAACTTCAGAGTGCTGAAGGCCAACCTTGCCTTTGTGATTCTGGTTTTGACATCTTCATCCGTTCCCCCTGTAGTTTGAATGACGCTACCTAGATAAGTGAAGGAAATCACCTCTCGTAAGTTTCGTCGGTTGTTAGTGACTGGTGCTTGTTATTGTTGTTCGTGTTGTTGTTGTTGTTGTTGGTGGTGGTGGTGGTTATCTTCATCACCTCCGTCCTCTCTATGTTCACTTGAAGTCCTGCCTTTTCCGACTCCTTCTTCTTCCGACTTATTGGTTTTCACCTGTGTCTTCGAATTTATGTGTTCTTGCTCCCTACTCACAGTGTGGCACATCATCCATTCGACCACAATTCGGAATATCATCACTGATAGTGTTTCCTACATGGAGTGTGGCGACTTGAACTGCCGCACATCAGTGCAAAGTTCTATGTCGAAAACAGACAGACAGACAGACAGATAGTGGGCATTCTTGTCTTACTGTTGTATGCACTTCAGAGGCTTCTCTGAGCTTCCCGTTGTGAATCCCTAGACATGTGGTATTTTCATATAGCTGTTGAATGAGGTTGATAAAGATTTTGGACACTCCGTATTACTGAATTAGTTTCTAAACTACCCCAAAGTCAGCATTGTTGAAGGCCTTTTCAAAGTCGGTGTTATTAAAGTATAGATTTGACTGCTTTTCTATATTTTGTTCGTTGATGATGCATGTAGTTGTAATTTGATCAGCGCATGATTTGCCTTTCGTGAATCCAACATGGTAAAGGTGTAGTGCTCCATCCAATGCATCCTTTATTCTCTCCAGGATGATGTGACTTACTTTTATTTTACTTGGCGTGGATAAGAGCATGATTCCGCGCCAGTTTTTGCAAAGGCCTAAGTCGCTGTCCCTCGATATTTTGACAAGGTGGCCAGCCTTTCTTCCAACCAGCAGAAACCTTTCCTTCCTTTCAAACAGTTTGCAATAGGGGCTTGAGCGTATCCTCTGTGGTCTCTGGATTCGCCATCAATGTTTCCGAAGGGATTTCGGTCCTGCTGCCTTCCTGCCTTCGTGGACTTCAGTAGCTCGATCGTATTCCAGACTTCTGACTTTGTTGGACGATTGGTGTCCACTGGCAGTTCAGTGTGTGCTGTCGGTGGTATTTCTGAACAAGTTTCAGGTGACGATCGATTTACTTCACTGTGTCTGGTTGGTTTCATCTGTTTTGTTCATTTCTCGGACAGAGACCTGATTATCTGATATGGTCTGAGGTCCGAGGTCTCTCGTACGTGTTGCCTGTTCTGCTTCAGTTCCCAGTGTGTCATAGAATTATCTGCTGTCTTCCCATGCACTATTCACTGGCGTGTACATTGGACTCATCTCCTTCTGTTGTCCATCTTTGCATTGGTTCATCTCCTGTTTCACAATCCTATTGAGTGTCTTTGTGAAAGCATATGCATAGGTCGTACAGAAAGGCGACTGTCTTCTCGCATGATGGAGCATTTGCCAAGGTGGTTGAAAACATGTGGAGTCGAAGTGCCTAAAAGTCCAATAAAAAAGCATCTTTTGAATTATGCACATGATATTGACGCTGTCAAATCATTCCCCGTTGTCAGCAGACAAACAGTACAGGGAGATGCTTTCGATTGTGGAAGCTTATGCAATTAGAGTTTATAAACCAGGTCTCTGTATTCGAAAGGAGACAGCAGTCACTCTGAATCTACCATGGTAATATGTTTGATTTGTTAACTGTTATTATCAAATGTTTTATTCTATCTCTTATTATAACTATTTCTAATTCATGTAAAATTGTCATGTATCATTAACGTTGTCTTGACTCGTTTTGTCGTTATTATAATTGTTATTATTATTACTATTATTATTATAATTAATTGTCATTATTCTTATCAATATTATTTAGTTTGAAATTCTCAATATCTTAGCGATCTTATGTGTCCTAATGATTTCTGAAGGTATACATATACATATATATATGTATATATCCGTATATATATCGGGTATCCAGCTGAATAGTTCTACTGAAATTTGATGAATTCATTGATTCCTGCTTTACTAACTTTCGTTGCCCATTTTGAGTTCGATTCGAGAAATGAATATTTCAAATTATCTTCTATTAGCTTCCAGGTGTCTGTAGAAAGACATTCCTTTACTTGCCTCTTCTTTCTCAATAAAATATTTGTACACGTTTACTTGAGCATCACTTTCGGAAAATTCCAATATTATTCTACACAGGTTTTCTCAGTGGTGCTGGTGGCTAATGTCTCCAACTTTACTTTGGTGACTGCAGTGAAGGCGTTTGGTCTAGTCTTGTTCTTCAGTTTCTGGGTATTGAACTTGATTTGTGGTCTATCTCTAGTCACTTTGATGCCTCTCAGCACTGACCTTGAATTTCTCCTGAACTAACTAGATAATGATCTGAGCCACATCTGCACTCCCTCCTCCTTGCGTTTGTTATCAGCAGGCTGTGTTTCCACTTCTTTGAAATCAAGATGAAATCTATCAGATTATTGGTATGTCCGCCAGATGCGATTCGGGTGTAACATTGGAAGATGGTAGCTTTGCTTGCTTCTGAGTTGACTCTTGCTGTCATTATCCCAGAGGGTGAGATTGGTTCCTACTGGATAAGAGCTTTGGCTGATGTTGATGACATCATGATAGCCATTGATTGCCTCAGTGTGCTTGTCGGTTGTCGGCTGGGTTGACGGAGTGGGTTGTCAACTCGCCAGTTGACAATTTGGAGAGTGCACATCCACGCCACCTGCTCTCACAGACGGGGAATGATAGATGTAAAGGGATCAGTTTATTATCCGCCCCTACTACTAGTTTGAAATACATGAAAGTGGAAATCGTAGTTATTAGTGGCATTCTTTACTGCTCATAAACTTGATATCTTACATACTGAAGCTTTTTTGAATTTTGTTTTCATTGTAGAAGATCGAATGGAAGATTGTTATACAATTCTTAAAGCGCAAGCACATTTTCTGCGTGCTTTAATGGCGTACGTGTATGGGGAATGAAAACGGCAAGGTTGTCGTCAGGAGACTTGTTTTTTACTGTTGCGCTTTCACCAGATGCGTTATTTTCATACATTTTGATATTGCTCATCATTGTTTCTGAAGATAATGTCATACCAAAATTAGGATCACTTTCCATTTGAACATGTTTTGTTATTATATGTTGACAATTTGTTCTATGTGTTTGAGGTTCTTTTGCATACAAGTGTTCACTTACTTGCTTTACTGTTTGAAAATGTTCGCGACAATTTTGAATTTGAATCAATAAATTGATCCCACTGTCTTGAGATGTTGTTACAGTTAGTTCTTCTTGATCAATACACATTATGACAGGACTGTGTGTGAGAAGTAACTAGACTAGCCACTTCTTATTGTGTCTATGGATTGAACTGCTCCTGAGGAGCCAGTTATGTTTTGCTGGCTCAGGACACCACACCTATCAGTGCTACTAAATAACGGTGTGGTTAAAACCGTTAACAGTTTTGAATTAGGTCACCTCGTTCAAACAGGCCATAAAGCTAGCATTGGAGACTCCTCCTGTTTCACCTATGGGGTATGGAACAAATTAACAAAGGCTATTGGATACCGAACACTCCAGATGGCCAACGCCACTATAATTCGCTTAAATCAGCCGGAGGGAGCTGTGTGTGCAAATAACGGGTCTGGTCACTGTTACCAGCCTGGGCTTGTTGTGAAACGGATAAATTTATAAATTCCGTATTACTTTCCTTAAGTTATCCGACATTCATTTCTAGTGTTATCCTTATCACTTATGTTATCACTTGCAGATGCTTTTGAACCGCTGTCTATCGATATTATTGATTCACAGTTGATTTCATAATTAAGAAAAAAAAGAAACAACATTAATGATGTTATTTACAATCATTGTTTAATTATTTTGGTCATATAACTTTATAACATTATGAGTAAGTTATTGAAAATCATATTCCTTGTTCATTCATGAGTTTTCTAAAGTTTCCAGTGAGCATCTCCAATCAGTTGAATAACAGTGATAATAATAAAAATAAATATATTGGTTGTCGTTTACCACCTGAGTAATCCAAAATGTTATAGCTATTTATACTTTACTATGTTCTCCTCCTTCCATATCAATGCTAATTTTGTTAGTATCAATCACTATTACTGCATGTGTTTTTTATGGTGTAGCAACTTGAATTGATAATCGTTTTTACCAGGAATTCTAATTCGCTATTGTATATCAGTTATCTGTCAAAGACGTTTCTACAATTGTATAATTTCTTTCTATTAAACTAACTTCTGGTGCTTATATAAGGAAAACACATAAGTCAGTGAATATCTCTTTTCGATATCAAGAGGAATATGAAAAGAGGATTAGTAGGAAGCGGCGAAGTGTGATTCTGTCTATTAAAGTGGAAAACGACACAATGAAACAAACAAATTACAGTAGGTCATCTTTTGGATAAGACGGTGAAAATCTCGATGTCTGGAGAACTGTTTATGATATGTCTGCTCTGAACATGCAAGTAAATCCAGTGAAAAATCTAAATGGGTCATTATAAATTATTCAAATCAATCTCAGCATGTTTAAGAAAAATCAAGAGAAGATTTTTCTGAGCGTTTCTCTGTGTAAGCCACAGCTTTGTCAGACGAATTATTCGGATATTTTCTCAAAAACACACACTGTGATTAATTTCAATAATTTATAATGAATGAATGAATGAATCAATGTGACGTGGCGCTGAAATTATTCCACGAAGTTCGTAACACCTACATCTACGGTCTGGAAACTTATAATCGAAATAGGTCGGTCGATGTAAACGGCGCTAGCAAATATACATTTGAGTAGTTCAATTATTTCGACCATGAGGAAGGATATTTTCAAAGACGTGAAAAACACACATTAGGAAACGAATACAACTGAAGCCTTATTTTGATTGACCCTGTATTAGTTAAAGGTGACAAAGTACAGTCTTCTTGGGCACAGATGCTAGGATGTTGTGGTTGCTATTCTCCTATGTTATGTTATATTTCAGAAAATTCAGGAAATAATATATCTGCAATTTTCTAAATCCGAGTGGATTTTCCCATTTCTTCGAGGGTGACTAATTGTACTTGTTCATTACTGCTGTGTATCTCACTGATTCACTCACTTACTATACCTGAGTGGTGTCATCACCTCGTAAGCTCGTTTCATTGTTCGCCTGTTCCGAGTACAAGTCTCAGTACTGGAAATCACTTCCTAATTCAACTAGAAAACTGTCAAGAGAGCAGATATTCTATCTAAATATAATCGATTTGTGATGATAGCTGTCTACTAGGCAAATTGGTAGACAGTAATTTACGTCAATATTTACGTTCCCAAGATTTGTCTTGAGGAACAACCAATCGGAAGACTGTGTTTGTTTGTTTACGTATCCATAGTTATTTAGATGCGTTGATTTCCTAAATAAATGATCTCTTGCCTGTTGTCGTTGCAGATTCAAACAGATAAGATCACATGATAACCCTGAATAAATTAAAATAGCAGATATGAAGAAGTAAAGTACAATAAGTCATGGTCAGGCGAATAAGATCAACAGTTCCAGTTTCTTTTAAAAACAAATGTATTAACTAATCAAGTGAAGGTGTTTTTTGTTTGTTTTTTTTGGTCAGACAAATAATTAGGCATGACTCATCCATCTTAGGATAAATATGCTAACAGTGTGAACGTGATTTCATATTATTTATGGATCAGTACAGTTTTTCATTAACATTTTTTCATCAAGACAGATGACTAAGCTTGACAACGCTGCACACACCTACAAATAGAGAGAGAACACGTAAGAGAGCACACATATATTCAATGAAGCTACTGATTGATAAGTGTCCCGTAATTTGATGTAAAATATTGTCTATTGTCTTATCCTTTGCTTGCTTTGACTACTCTCTCTCCTCTCTCTCTCTGTTTTTGTCAGTGTGTGGCGTTGTGAGCTTAGTCGTCAGTCTTAAGAAGAAGGAGAAAAAAACACGTAAAATCTACGCTGACCCATAAATACCGTAAATAATATTCACACTGTTAGCATATTGATCCTAAGATGGATGAGTCATGCCTAATTATTTGTCTGACCAAAAAAAAAAAAGAAGGAGGCCTTCACTTGATTAGTTAATACATTTGTTTTTATAAGAAAGTGAAACTGTTGATCTTATTCGTCTGACTATGACCTATTGTACCTGTTCATTTCTGCTGTGAACCAGAGTATATTTCTGAGTTACCATTGCATCCTAATGGTTTTTCACAGAATATCTGTTTGCACTTTGGTTATATGGCGATAAGACGAGATGACTAGGACGACTGTTGTTGTTACTCTTGTCTGATTCCTAGTGGAGGTTCTAGTTTCTGCATAATGCTTAATTTGGTACTTGGTAGAATAATTGCGAAGCAGGACAACAGCTCAGTCAGATGAAAGTCGGGACTAGTATAAAGAATGAACAAGTTTTGTTGAATCCGTCAATCGCCGAGAGGAGAATAATTCATGCTCGTTGATCATAGTAGCATGGATATGCTTTGGAATTAATATTTTTAGGGGTTGTGTATGCAAATTTTGAGAAAATGTTAGGTGAATTATATCAGGGTTATTATACTGCTTCCTTTTAACTTACACTTTAACTTAATTTTATGATTTTCGAGGTACTAACTATTCTATGGATTTTTAATATTTTCGCAATGCTGACGGGCTGAATACGCGCATTGTACAATCACGTACAATCACGTAGAATAACAGTGGTAACAATGGAATTCATGATGAATAATCCACATCCAGGCATTACATTGATGAGAACAAAACACGTAGTTCAGCGAAGAAGCGTCTGTTTCCGGGGAATTCAATTTCTTAGCTGTAGAATGGCAAATGTATATATATATATATGTATATGGGTTATTTTGAATGTGTGGGTAAATTAGGTTTTGAAGTACTGGTTTTGTAGGGATTTTCCGTTCCGTTGGTTGGAGGATTTCGTCATGAGCTGATATATGTTGGAGAAGCATTGGAACAGGAACCCAGGAGAACTGGCCATCCATTTCGTCTCAGTTTGTGACTCTTCCGCTGTACGCGCCCATCGGGGTTCGAACACAGGAACCTCCTGTTATTAGTCGACCTCGAAGACCATTAGGCCAATGAGACTCGATCCGATGGTCCATCAATTCTAACTACTGTCAGTAGGCTTCCACCAGCTTAATGGTCAGGGAGCCAGGCTTGTAAATAGAAGGTCGTGCGATCGGAAACCAGTGGGTGTGTGCACATGAAGAGTCGAAAACTAGCACGGAACGGTTAGGTAGCAGTCCCAGGATTGATGATATTGGATGGTCGGAGGCAATCGGCAGGAAGCCCTAGTTCTAGGTTTCTCCCGATTTCGCACTTATCAGAAAGCACTAGACACCTCATACTACTTACTAGTTTCCAATCAATGTATACAATACAGTCATACAGTGAGGAGGTGGTGAATCGCCAGTCAGAATACATCAGTGGTATCGTCTCAGATTGCAGCACTGGGTGAGGCGGGTTCGAGTCTCAGAAGGGACATGAGTTGTTTCAAGGTAGGAGATATGTCTTTGACGAATTAAAGATATTTGGTAGAATTACCAACACTTGACCATTTGTCTGATGCCCACAAGAAGATGGCGCTACTGAAGCTGTTACCAGGGGTTCTATCGTGAAGCCGTGACTATTAGCCTTCAGCAGGTCTAAGACTGAGACACTGACTTGTCGACGAAGACATTGAGAAGTGGTGGACCTATGGCATAAATTGGCTGAGTAAAATATTCTTGGCCTATTTCATTGTGTCCGGGTATCCGAATGGTGTGTGAGCTCGCCTTGTAACCATCAGGACGTGGGTTCAAACCCCACCCCCCTGTATTGCGTACGTACAGCCGAAAAGGCGTAAACTCGGACGAAACCTGTCAACTACATTAGGTTTGCCAAACCAAAATGCACTTGGTTTTGGTGAGTTAACTGAACACGTGAGAATTAGTCGGTCTTGTGTGGAGTTACGCAATGCAAAAGGGTCAAGAAAATTGGGCCTCAATGAAATTAGGGTAGTAACAAAGGTGATGAGTTGTCACAAACATCTGTTAAAAAGGAGTTACGTATTGATACGAATAGTTGGATGATGGAGTTGTACTCAGGATGCACATAGAAAAAAAGTAGAGAATACGAAATTACGTACGAGTTCTAAATGAATACAAGAATTATAAGAAATTAAAGAAGCAGGGAAGCAAGCAAGCAAGCAAGCAAACAAAATGAAGTCATCAAAAATCAACTAAGTTGTACAGTTCACTTTCAACGAGACCATCTGTAAACAGAAGCA